CTGCTATGCCTCCTATGTAGACTTTATATTCATCTTCTCCCAAAACGTCGGTGGTAAAACAGCAATCAAAAACTACATGTGTAGAGAAAACAATTACCAACAAGTAAATATACATGGTTTAGATTCTTCTGCAGCGTAAGGGCAAAACCATACACAGAACATGTGAACAAGCCAGCAAATACAAAACAAACTTTTTCCTTCTGAAACATTCATCAGCATTCGACTGTTGAAGGATATACATATTAGGAAGTATATAAAGAACACAAAAATTTGATAAATTCCACATTCATGCATACATTGTATCTGTGCAAAATTTGTACATCACCACACCAAAATAAAGTTTCACAATTTGTGTCTGTGTGCAAATGAAGTAGCGACTTTAGATTCATTTCTTCTTTCAACTTTAGAGCACAATAGTTAATTGCCAGATAAAAAATTCTAGCAATATACGGGAACTTTAAACTTGTCCGGCGTGTGCCCACAAATCAACCCTAAACCCTATTCCCAGGACATATTAAACAGAGTCTCCCCAATGTCTGTATTGGTCAAACTAATGCAGCTCCATTCATGCAGATTCTGTCCAACTAATGCAGTTCACTTCATTCTTTGGAATCCCAAAAGGCACAGTAAATATGCATCTCCAAATATAGACATCTTCTCAAATTGCAAACAAGCAGCTCTTAGTTGAGTTTCTAACAACAACACACAAAAAAAAAGAACAAAAAGAAGGAAAAATACCAGTAACACAACCCACATTCAAGCCATTGCACAAATTTAACAAACATCATCTTCAATAAACCAAATTTGAAAGAAACTAAAGCCCAGAAAAGCATACCATAAACCCTCTCAGATATCTCCAAAAGCCCATCCGGTGGCTTCCGGTAGAAGAACTTCCTAAACAACGCCATTGTTTCTCAAGATCCGAAAACGCCCCTCCAAAAAAGATACCTAAAACCCCTCCAATTCAACCCACATTGCTCCGAAACGCAAAACCCATCTCAGCTCGAATGCCAAAATCACAGAATCCCCAGAGGAATTAAATAACCAAGCCCCATGACAGACACAGAGAGAGAGAGAGAGAGAGAGAGAGAGAGAGAGAGTGAATGTTGAGGAACCAGAAGGAATGGATTTTGCTGGGTTTCTACGGAAAGTGCTTCTGAGAGACTTAGCTTTCACATTCACACACTTATTTGTTGTGTGCATCAGAGAGAGAGAGAGAGAGAGAAAGACTTAGCTTTCAATCAACAATGGGGTATCTTCTTCTTCCTACATTGTATCAGAAAAATGTAGAGAGAGAAAGAGAGAGGAGAGGAGAGGAGAGGAGAGAGAAAGAAGTCGGATATGGCGTTAATTTTTTGGTTGAGGAAAGAGGGGGATTTGGGTTTTGTCTCTGTCTCTGTCCCTGTCTCCGTGTGCTTCTGCGTCTAACGGGTTTAGGGGAGAGAAAGGACGCGATTAGAAAAGAACGACGATTATTTTGATTGCTTTGATGGCACATCATCGCACGTGTGTTGTCGACACAAGTCACATTGCTCATCGTTAGTCTCTGAATAGTACTTGTGTTTGTGCATCGGACTCTCACGTGCCTCAATGGTAACATTTTTAATATTTTTTACTATTAAAAATCCAACGGTTCAAATTATTAACAGTTCTCAAAACGCCACGTGTCCAAACCATTGGAAATCAAAAGTGACCTACTGCAATAGAGCCCACTGCTAAATCAATGTATTAATTTCGAACTCTTCTCCCTCTCTTTAAAAAAAACAAAACAAAAAATTAAGTCATTGAACTTTACTAGCATGCCGTCTATTTTATTTTGTTAATGAATGAATATCTTATATTCCTTGATTATGTAGTAATGCAAAGTACTTATAATGGAGGTGTACATTACATGCAATATAGATGAGCATTATCAATTTGGATTGGTTTATTTTCTTAGTTCAAATGACAGAAGATGAAGAAAAATGCTAGCAATTTTCTCATTTGGATCTTCTCAATTTTCATTTATCATATAATGTTGTTTGATAATCAGAATCATCTATTTTCTAAAACACCATTGAAATATCATCTATACAAAATATTAACTAAATCATAAATCGTTTAGTCATTTAATTGTTATCGAATAAATAGACAAACCATGTTTATCATTAAATACTATAGTTTTGACAATGCTAATTGAACAGTTAAATGATTCTAAGTTGGTTTGTTTTTTGCTTAATTGATCTTTAAAGGGTTATCTAGAAAGTAGATTGCTTAGATTATCAAGCAGCGTTACAAAATGAGTAAGAGAGCCGAGAAGGTAAAACAATAAGTTATAAGTAGAAAATTGCTAGCATTCTGTCAAAATAAATGCCTAAGAATGAAGATCATACATTCTAAATCTGCAATTTGTTTCTTAACCGTTTGAGATGAATTTCAAATTTGCATTTTAAAATGACTGAAAGCACTTTTAGTGAAAATATTTTTGGAACCAATCCTTACTAAAATGCAAGTAAATAGCACATCCAAACGAGCTCGTAGTTTCTTTTGTTTTTCTTAACCGTTTGAGAAGAATTTCAAATTTGCATTTTTCAACGTTTGTAACTTATTATTGTTAAATAAACTGATGTAAAACAAAATTTAGTAATTCTATGAAAATTAATTCAATTATGAGGAACTGTAATACAATTAAAAATTAACCTCGAAAGTAAGTATACCAGATATGTCAAGCATAAAAAAGTTTCAACTATTTGTCATTAACAATAACAAGAAGAAAGTCCATTGTATAGATCTAGAACGTCATTGTGCTCTATTTTGCATTAAGTCTTCGTTAGCTCCAAGTATTTCATGTATTTTTTTAAAGTCTCTATCCAAATAGGTATTTCTCTACCCTTTTTTCCTAAGTTTCTATCTTATAATTGCATTTTCTAATCGGAGTATATGTATATTCGTTTCACATGTCAAAATCACCTTACTCGGTTTCTTTTCATCTTATCTTCAATTGTGGTCATTATTACTTTACCTCAAAAATCCTCGCCTACCTTAATCATTTTTCTTTTAACTACAACTAATTGCCATTGACCAACTAAAAAAACAAAAAAAAAAAAAAAAAACGAAAATTTTGACGAATAAAAAAAACGGTTTTGGACAACTGGACGTCCACATTCCGACCAGAATCCGTCAATTTGCATATATAGATTCTTAGAACTTTATGGTGACCGATTCGCAGTGGGAATTTATATATTGTCCTTACTGATTTGAATTTAAATAAACAAAACTAAGACAAGTAACCAAATAATAGAGGGGCACTCTGTTTATTATTTCCATTATTATTGGTTGGTCCTATGTCGGTATCACCACGATTGGCGCAATAGCTCAAGACCTAATTAGTGAACCAATTATTTGTATTTTTTAACATGTCGTCCTCTGCTATTTAGTACTACGGTATGGTAGTATTTATCTTCATTTGGAAGTGAGAGGTCTTAGGTTCGAATCTCGTTGATAGCGAATTCGATACCAAATTAGGTCATCCATTGTGTGGCTTAGCCAAATTTCTCATCTTCTTAGTGTAAAAATATATTGATGTACTAAAAAAATGTAGTCATTTTCATTCATTTCTTTTGTTCTAAGTGGTTTATGAAGTGTTAGGTCATAAGGTGCAGTATATTCATGAAGAAATACTTACGTGAAATGGGAACATTCAAGTAGCGGTGTCCAAAATTATTCGCGTGATGTTATAGTGAAAAAGTTAAAATATGTGGTGTTGTGTTATTGATCCAATATGCTATATTGGCGGCCCAAAACATAGGTGAATTCTTCTTCTAAACCCTAGTACTGGTTTGGTACTGATGTGCTTGTATAAAAAGTGGGTATAAAAAAAAAGCAGGTGTTTGGTAAATACTTAAAAACAGCTTATTTTCACAATTTTTTTATTAAAATAAGCTGAAAATGTGAAGCAGCAAAAATGAACTTATTCTCACCGCACAGCAATACCAAACCAACCCCTAATCTAATGTTGTAGATTTTGCACTACTAAACTTTTATTTTAGTTATACTTATTTCCTAATATTTGATACCAACTTGAAACAATTTGACAAAAATAAAAAAAATAAGATTTTATAGTATTCAGTTTTCAAAATTGAGGATGCTTGTTTGAGACTGTTTTTGTAAGCATTGAAAAATGCTTCTTGACAATTAAAAGTATTTATCGCCATGTTTTGTAGAAAAAAAATTAAAAGTATTTATGAGTTATAAAAACATTTTATATAGAATCACCTAATAATTTCTTGTTCACAAAGTACTTTTAGGAAGCACTTTTTTTTTTTTTTGTCTAATGATAGATTTTGTTAGAATAGATGTTAGATTAGCTAGTGACGGGGTTCGAACCCATGCCGTTATACAATGACTCAACTCCTTTCCACCACTGTTAAAGCACTTAAAATTTTAGGGCTCGTTTGAAAGTACTTATATTTTTGGAATCAATTCTTAATAAAAATGTAAGTAGATATTGGAAAAACGCTTCAAGTATTTTCTGAACCCAAATATATTTTCTCTAAAAGGACTTTCAATTATTTTAAAAACACTTTTTAACGAATCCATGTGCTACCAATATTTATTTATATAAAAAAAAGCACTTGTTGAATAGAATTGCTTCTATATCAAGAAAGTATCGTGATTGAGACGTGGATGAATGGTTGTGGAGGTTGTATCATATAGTTAATTAACTAAATGTTTCAAATCATGAGGTGGATTTTGTACTTTTGGAATTGTTTTCAAAGAAAAGGGATTCCCTTCCTCATAATTCATTAAACCAGTGGATCTGTACTATTGAAATTTGATCAAACGGTTAAAGTTATTATAATTTTTAAAGTAAGTCCATATTTATAATCGTTGGATCAAATTTTAATAGTACGGATCCATTAATTTTGTAAATTAAAAAGAAGAGATGCGTAGAGGATCCTTTCCGTTTTCAAACATGGGAAGCATCATTTCATATTGTTTAATCACGATAATTCCAATTAACTTAAAAAAAAAGTACAATTCAAATTTCAATTTCCCAATGTCATAATTCCTGAAATTACCAATTTTATTATCGGAATTGGAAATTTCATAAACCCTAGGGAGTTGTGCAGCCTCCTGACGCTCCCAGGCGCCATTGATGAGCTTCCCTCCATTTTTTTCCACAATTTGAATCTCTCTGTCTCTCTCCTCACTTTCTCTCTCTACACACTGTCACCGGCTCATCGCATTTAACTCCGATGAGGAAGAAGAAGAAGGACGATCACGATCCCTTCTTTAAAACCCTAAACATTCTCTGCCCTTTCCGTTACTCCAAGGCCCGCCACATCCGCATCGCCGACATACTCGTTGATGAAGAATTGGGATCCGAAACCGGCGGCTACGATTGCTCCGGAGACTTCAGTATGGATAGAGACCCACACCGCCTCCCCGAGGACGACGGATTCACGGCCTTACAGTGCTCGTCCCCGCTTTATATTATTTCCCGATGGTTGTCGACTCTGAAGCGAGGCAAACGGAGGCGATGCGGCGTCGTACGGAGCCAGAAGAGACCGAAAGAGGTCGCGAAGACGGAGAGGGAGACTGGCGACGACGAGTCAACGCACGCCACCGGTTCGACGAATGGATTGAACGGCGGTGGCGGGGAAACAGAATCAAGTAAGCAAATAAAAAAATCGAATTTCTTGAATTAAATTATCGAATTTTTGAAAATTTTTGTACTAATTATTGAACTTTGTAAAATCCAGGACAGATTGTGAAGGATACGAGCTCATTCAATTTGGGAGTTGCGTGCGGTTTGGTGTATCTGATCGTCACCGGTAAAAATGAACTTGCAAAGACGGTGGAGTTGCGGGCGGAGATGGAGCAGTTGCTTCAAAATGCAAAAGAGGAACTGCAGAGCAAGAATTCGCGTTTCGGTTCCAGGGCGGTGGAGTCGAATGAGATGAATTTTGCTTCTTCCACCACCGATCTCCAACAGGCTTCGAGTTCGAGCTCTGGGAGCCGGTTTTCACTTCAATCTGGCCTGGTCCGTGAGGTGTGCTCGGAATTTGTTAGAGATGGAAGGGGACAAGGAGAAAGGGATGAATGCGCGGAGGGAATGGATCAACTCGAGGCGGAGCTTGAAGCGGAGTTGGAACGATTGCAGCTGCATTTGGAATCGGATTCGGAAAATCATTCATCCAATTCTAACTACACGCAGCAGCAAAGATTAAACGTATGGAGAGATTTTAATTATAATTTTGTTTAAACTCATGTTTTGATTGATTAATCTTGTGAAATGAATACTTGAATGTGAAAAATGGCAGGCTGTCCAAGACACAGCTCATGGAACAGGTGACGATATCTCAGATTTTGGAGAAGAAATCGAGGCACATGGAGCAGAACCAGCAGATTATAACGAAATCCCATGTGACTACGGAGTTCCTGCACTCGAACTGGAGAGAAGGCTGCACGAACTGCAGGAAGCGAGGCAGGAAGAACGGATAAAGGAACTTGAAGTTGCATTGGAGTACACGAAGCGCAAGCTTCATGAGAAGGAAATGGAGGCTTCGTGGTGGAGACAAAATGCATCCGCAGCACTCACATCGCACCACCATCAAGATCCTTCATCGTCGGGTGCTTCCCAGCACAGTTCGGAGAGTACATTTCACTTGTTTAGGTGAGAAAACCAAGCTGTACAGTGGCTTTAGACAAGCTTCATGAATGTAATGTCACTTTTATTTTCTGTGTAATTTTACGGGGTACATTATTTATCTGTGATTAAACCGTAAACCCAATCAATTGCTTCCAGAAACAGTAAGGATACCGAGGGCATTAGTAGCAAAGGGCGAGGCTGAATAAAACGGTTTGTGATTACCATTACATGTGAGTCTTCTTAGCGACAGCGGAAACATCACACCAAATGGTGATTTGAGGCTTAGCACGGATGAAGAATCGCTCATCCAGGTGAGACCCAGAGGCTGTGTGTTAGATTAGTTCCTGAAAGTCTTCATTTGGCCCAAAAACTACTTTTTCTCGATACATTTCTTCGGACACAAGCAATCAACTTTGTGCTTTTTGTGTGATTCTGTTGAAGATTGGTTTGCAGAGGACGTTGGGGTACCTCTTCTCTACTTGCTGCTTCAGCAGGCATCAGTCCTCCTTTGAAGTAGTTGCTTGGGCTGCAAGTGTTCTAAAAGTCTCCGCCTAGCGCTGCTTAGGGCTCGTCTAGAGGGTGTTTAGACTTGCTTAGGCTCTCATCTAGACTGCCTAGATCCGCTGAGGTTGTGACGCTCAACTAGAGAGAAAATAAATAACTTCCATTTTGCATTTCATTTTTTCAATAAATTGTAAGAGATTTGTTGGATACTTGGATAAACAATTATTATATGCTTGTTTCTTATATTTTGAATATGTTTTAATACTTTATGGGCATGTTTGATTGGCTTCTCTAAGTTCATTGGACTGGCTAGGATACTTAGACTGTGTTTGATGCAAGCAGGGATTGTGTTTAATGAGACTAAGCCGGACTTGCTGGGATTAAATGCTTCACTAAGAAGCCTTAGCGAGACCCCCCGAAAAGAAGAGGATTGCTAATCTCGTCTCCTACACTTGCTTTGCTACATCTCAAGCTCGTCCAGGACTCTAGTATGCTTCGCATCCTCCTCGTAGCCGTCCGATGATCGACGACGGACCTGCATCGTCGTCGAAACCCAAATCCCCAAAAAATGAGATATTTGAAAGAACACTGCCGAAGAAGCGCTGCTGCAAGCACAACGACAGCCAGAAGTGTCCCCAATCCCCGCTTCAATGATGGCACTGCAAGCACAGACCACCATTTCAACGAGGTTAGACCAAAATCGAACAGATCTAGGCCAACCAAGCTCGCTCATTCGGGATTCCACGCCACCAAACAAAAACTGAAAAACCAAGCTGGATTCTTCATTTTGCAGAAATTCTTTTTGGCAATTAATCGGAAAAAAAGAGGGAATGGAAGGAGAGCGTGGGATGAAGAGAACGAGGGAGATAAAAGAAAGAAAAAATGGACTGATGGAGGCTTCCAGAGGGAGGGAGAGTTTTTTTTAGAATAAAAAAGGTAGAATTAATTGACTGAATATTATTATATATGAATTAAAAAAATATAATATTGTAGTTTGATATTATCCTTCTTTTTAGTCTAACACTTCACCAAACGCTTCATTAAGTTAGTCCAACTTAGTGTAGTCTAAGCCAGTCTAGTTTAGTCTTTGAAGCTAGTTTAGTCCGAGATAGTTCAACGCAACAAACGTACCCTATAATTTATATGTCATTATATTTTGCAATTATGTATCCCAATAAATTTTTAAAATTTTTTAAGTATAAGTAGACACTTGTTTAAATGACATATAACAAATTTAATTAAAACTAAAAAAACTGTAAGTAGACACTTGTTTAAATGACATATAACAAATTTAATTAAAACTAAAAAAACTGCCTAGGCGTTGGGCCCTTCCCGCCGCTTGGTTAGCGTTTATGCCTTTTTGAACTTTAATTTTATGTATATATGCTCTTAATTATTTAAGCTACAAATTATTGCAAACACAATAAGTTATCAATTTTATTAGATAGAAATAGTCAATGGATCGTACAGCCGGTTAACAAATCACTCACATCACGTAACCCTGAAAATTTATCTTGCATTGAAGAATTTGAATATTCGAAACACTAGAAGGTCATTTGAAAAAAAATAAAAAAATTAGAGCCCATTTGATGTCATATATGCCATGACATAGGCAATCTTTCTTTATCTCGGATTCACATTAGAGAACCTTTAGCAGTTGGAAGAACATGGATTTAAAATGTGACTTAGCATATAAGCAAACAACACATGTTCATAACACTTTCCCTATCTAATATTATGTTTATGGTGGTACAAAAATTGGATGATTTCCTTTAGAAGCTTCTCCATATAGCTATTTTGTTATAAAAAAATAAAAAAAATAATAAAAAAAGGACTAGCTCGTGGCAAAGTCCTAACAATTCACTATTTAGGGGGCCAAGAATACTCACAGAAGTATTTCAACCTCTTTTTAGCCATCGTCATATTATTCATTAACATTAGGAATCAAACCTAAGACGAGCCACATAGAATATGGATTTGAATTCATCCCAACAACTGAGTCATCCTGTGATGATTTCCTCATATAGGATATAGCTATTAGGTTTTATCAATATAAAATTTTACATGTAATTTTTATTGATTTTCAAATGTAGCCCACTATATATTTAGTCACTGATCTAAATTCTCTTAGTTTAATTATATAAACTTATATAATACAGTTTACAAACCTTTTTTTTTTTTCTTACTGCTTCTTGTACATGTACAAGGTTGGATTTCTTTGAGTTTTAACATGTATTTGTTTAATAAAGAAAATTTTTGGCTCACCTTATGAAAATTTTCTTAAGCTAGTTGATACTCTGAAAATACAATATCAAGTTTCTTTATTTATAAAAATTTAAATTTTTAGGTTAGCCCACCTAGTAAAAAATTCTTTATTCCACTAAAGAAATTTTTTATTGTGATCGGAATATAGCTGGTACATCACGCGTTTTTATATCAGTGATGAAAATTTTTGTTTGCCCCGAAACAATCATTGTGTTCCTGTTTTTATTTTATATTGACTATTCAGATCTCTTGTTGACCCTACATATTCAATGGCTACGAGAGACGGACCGTGTCTTGACGTAGACGGTTAAAATTAGGCGAACCCCGCCGAAATATGGATAGTATTTTTGTTCAACACCATTTAATGTAGTGTATATTTACTACTATTTAATATGATCTATACTCATTATTCTATTTATTATAGTTAGATGAGTTTGAATTTTAAAATTCGTGTAGTAGACAAGTACAAATCTCAAAATTCAAAATCATCTAACAGTGATAAATAGAATAATATACATGTACCACATTAATGATGAAGCAAAAATGCATTATGCTGGTCCCTAATTACGAAAAGCCGCCGTGTAATCTTGTCGACACACGCACACACGTCACCGTGTGCCACGTGGACCCACACCCCCTGCTGCTCTGTTTAATCCGTCCGCTTATAAAAGCCCCCACCGCCGTCTCCCTCCCATTCCCACCAAGCAAAGAAACCAGTTCTTCTTTCCTTACCAATCTTTCTAACTTTCTGCTTGTTTCCCGGGAAAATCACCAGAGAAAAAAAAAAACAGGGGGCATTCCTCAATTTCCTTACGATTTATATACACAGGGGGCATTCCTCAATTTCCTTACGATTTATACACATATATTGAAATGGCAGCGGAAACGAACTCCAAGAGCGATACTTTGACGCTTGAGAAAGTGAGAGAGGCGCTGATTAAACAAGAAGACACCATAATTTACCGGCTGATTCAGAGAGCAAACTTCCCTTTGAATTCTCCGGCGTACGACGAGAAAGCGTTTCCATCGTTTTCTGGTTCTCTGCTTCAGTTCGTTGTTAAGGAAACAGAAGCCCTCCAATCCAAGGTAACTATACTTATTAATAACCAGTAATTGGTAATTGCATTTCGATAACCTTTTTCTCGAGATGAACTTCCGAGGAACTGGAATGTCACAGCGACGGTATTCCAATTTCATTGTGTGATTAAATTGGCAATAGTGCCTGATTGAATTGAAATCATGACGATATGACATTCAAGTTGTACATCTCTAACATTGTCTCTTGATTAACAGGTTGGTAGGTATGAAAATCCCGAAGAACTTCCGTTTTCGCCGGAAAGTTTACCGCCTTCATTGCTGCCGCCACCGGAAAATCCACCGGTAATTGGTGGGATTTACCCAGAAAGTTTAACTCTCTTCTTTTGAATTTGTCACTAGAAAATTTTTGAACTCTTATTTTTTTGGGAAATAATTGATTCAATTTTGTATAGGTATTGCATCCTGCTGCAGCTTCGATCAACATAAACGGAAAGATATGGGATTTCTATTTCGACGAATTGCTTCCTCTGTTTGCAGCCACCGGTGACGATGGAAGCTATGCGTCAACTGCTTCTAATGATCTTGATTGCTTGCAGGTGAAGTTAACTTTGAATTATTTTAATGCTATTGCGGTTGGTGGAAGTGTTCATGCCGCCAATACAAGAACTTTCGTTAAAAGTACTTTATTAGAAATATGCTTTAAGTCCTTGTCCATTCGTAATCCAAAAGCACACTTGTACTTTTTCCGCCAAACTCATAAGCGCTTTTGTAAAAGCACTTTTCAAACTCATATGTTACTTATTGTGAGATGTGTTTAAGAATGCATCTAGAAAGAAGCACTTGCTGCTTCAGGTTATCAATTCAGATGAACTGATCGCACATATATTTCCGTTGAATTGAATGTTGTTTCATCTACAGGCTATCTCTAGACGAATTCATTACGGATACTATGTTGCCGAGGTTAAGTTTAAAGATTCCCCTCAAGACTACGAGCCTGCGATTCGCGCTCAGGTTCAGTGATTACCATTTTCCTTGTAATTCCATTTGGGGAAGTCTTAGGTTGATCAGAAAATTAATAAAATTAGGCTTTGAATATTTCAGGATAGGGAGGGTTTGATGAAATTGTTGACTTTTGTGGACGTGGAAGAGAAGGTGAAGAAACGAGTTGAGAAGAAGGCAATGGTGTTTGGGCAAGAAGTAAGCCTGATGGACAATGCCAACACTAAAACATACAAGGTTGATCCGTCGATAGTTTCTCGCCTCTACGGAGAATGGATAATGCCACTCACGAAGCTCGTTCAGGTTGAGTACCTCCTTCGTCGGCTTGACTAGATTCACTCTGCCTAAATTTTTTGTGTTCAAAATTCTTGTAGTGACGAAAGGTTCATATTTGAACCGTTTAATGTGTACAACGTCATTTATCTTCGAAATTTATGACGCGATTAGATAATAACACAAAAGTTGTTAATATATTGTTGTATGTTTGGAGATGTGTATTTACCGTTCTAGTTAGAGGAAATTTTGTTACAATTGAGAGAATTGAACTCATACTTTACCAATTATACTAATCCTTTGGTACTCTACGAGAAAGCTAAGTATTAATGTGGAGGGAAATACAAGTAATGACTCATCTCTTTTCTATCAAATCTTTTGCCAAACATGAGCGCATTTCTCTATCTATACAATTCTTTTTAAGGCGGTGTTTTACCTAAATGTTTTTGTCTCTCCTTATATTATATAAAAAACAATTTCCATACACCGTTTTTCTCATTTTGTATAACCTATTTATTTGTATACTTAAGTTTTTCCTCATTTATTAGATCTCTTAGCCAAAGATAATTAGAGATAGGGGTGGGCATAAAAATTGGGGGTGGGCGTAAAAACGGCAGCAATGAAAAACCGAATCGAATCGTTTAAAAAACCGTGTTAATCGAAAAATTCAAAACCGGTCCAAAAAACAAACTGCACCGGTCTGTTCCAGTTTCCTTTCTTACTTCTCAAAAAACTGGTTAAAACTAAACCGGACCGACTTGAACCGGCTTAAAAGTAAATTACTTGACAGGGTTGGCATATGCTTTTGTAAATCGTGGGTTGCTGCTCCCAACTTCCACTTCCCCATTTTCCACAGCCTGTTATTACAAAGCCCAAAGCCCAAACCATTTCCACCGGAGCAAAGACGACGTCGTAAATGCCAAAAAAGGAAAATACTAAAATTACGATACATGACGAGCTGATAGAGGAAAATTTTTCATTGTGACCGTAACACGTGTGATACATTATGTATTTTTATATAGATGGTGAAAAATTTTATTTCTTACATTATTAATTTTTTAACATTTCACCATTTATATAATGATACATGATGCATCCGTATTCCGTTCACACTAAAAAAACCTCTCTTGATAGGAGAGCTCAGCGCTCACTGGAACGGTTGGATCTCTTCCATCAAAGACCACAAAATTAAGTGTTTCAGATCTTTGAAGTTTTATGGTCTATTTGTTTTGATCTCTTAAAGTTATAATAATTTGGGAAAATTTGAAATAGGTCCAATTTTATAGACTACCTTTTGAAATAGGTCCAATTTTTAGTGACTTTTGACTTTTGAAATAGGTCCAATTTTTAGTTACTTTGGACCTATTTCAAAAAACCCCTAATAATTTTTGATCGTTGACTAAAATTTCAAAGTGCGGATCACAGGGAGAGGATTTCTTCTCGACTGGAACGTCACAATCCAGAAGTCCTCTCTCTCCCTCTCTCTCTCTCTCTCTCTCTCCCCACCCTCAAAAGCTGCGACCCATTTTTCTCTTCTCAACGCAGTGAGAGTGAGGACTGAAAAAATCCCCAAAAATCTCACATGCATTGCTTGTAAACCCTAATTTCGGAGGTTTTGAAGCCAACATTTCTACGATCTCTGATTTTAGGGTTCCTTTTTCACTCCGATCGAGCTCACTGTAAGTCTGTATTCATCTCTCTGTTTTTATCATTTTTATTTAGCTTTTTTGATGATAAATTTGTAAACTTTTCTGTTTTATTTTTTGATTTTCGAAATTCTCTGGAGGGATTCTGGTTTTTAATGTGTTTTTTTAGGTAGGGTTTTAGCTTTGGGTTGGAAGTATTTTTAATTTTCCTGATTTTTCTGTGAAATAGGTGCCTGGAAAGTTGTGTTTATGTAAAATATTATGTTTCCTTTTACTGTGTAGCGGAGAAGGGAAAGAGTAGTTGAAACCAAACTGGAAAAACCCTAATGGAAATATGTGATATTCCAGAATAAATGAGGGTTGAGTTTGAAATTTGAATACCAAAGCATTTAATTAAGGTGCATATGAAATTATGAATACACAATTTCCGCATTGTTGCTGGTGGTGTTTTCCAACTCAAAGTTGGAAGTGCCTTTAAGAAATATGAAGATTTGCATAGAAAGTGTGATATGTATACGGGGGCATTGCTATACTTATTTCTTTTGTTGTTATTTTTGAAATAAAATTGATAATCGGTAACTGCATAATTGAATTTGATGCTTTTTAGACAACAAAAATGGGTTGCTGAATAAGATAGTTCATATCTAACATGTATATCTTGTTCTATTAGGGTGCGTTTGTTGTACCGGACTAGCATTAGGGACTAAGTTGGATTGGCTTGGCATGGACTAAGTAGGATAAGAATAATGGAACGTTTGGTGCAGTATCGGACTAAGTTACGGGTTAAATTATTTTGAAGAATCAAACAATTTTTAGTCATTTTTTCCTTTTCACATTATTTTTCCTTTCCACTCTCTCTCTCTCTCTTCGTCTTTTTTTTCCCTTTCCACTCTCTCCTCCCTTAAAACAGTGTCATTTATCACTTCATATCCCATGGAAAATTGAAATCGTGCAGAGGCTCCTCTCTGCAGCGCCATGGATTTCACAGCCACTTTGTGTTTCTCGGCCCTCCTCTGATTTTCTGGGAAAAATGAAGAATTTTTCTATTGAGTTTGTTGTTATCAAATTGATTTTTTATCTTTTCGAATTTTGGTGGTTGGATGTTGAGAATTAGGCAGGGTGGGTGTCAGATCTGGGCATAGGTGGCCAAACAGAGTTGCAGAGAAGCATGATTGCAGACGACTTGCAGCGTGCAGACTTTGTACACAGCTTTAGAGACGGGATTAGCAATCCCATATGTTTCGGGCAGCCTAGCTAAGAACTGGTAGTGAAGGACTTAGTCGGCACGAGTCCAACTTGGTCCCATTAAACTTAATCCTTGTTCCAACCAGATTAGAAATCCCAGCTAAGCCAATCCAGTCCAGTGAAGCTTAGTGAGGGCAAACAAACACCTCTTAAGGTTAACATTTAAGAGTTTAAGAAGTTACGCTTTATATGTTGTCTTCAAAGAATTGATTGTCCTTTTTCTATGTTGATTTTGCCATGTTCTTATTAAATAGTGCTAATGTTGTTTGGGATCAAGAGATGTGAAGTTCATTCCCATTTTCCTTTACTATGGGTTTTTCTGCAACCAATTGTGGTATTATTTTAATAATTGGATGGCTAATTTGATATTATATTTTTGTTGTTTGTCTTCTTATCCTTTGCTTAATTGACAGATTCTGAATCCAATGGGGGCATCATCGGATGCCAAGGGAGATATTGGTATGAGCAGCAAGGGAGAAAGTTTTACAAATGGTGTTGACATGGACATTGACGATAGTGATTATGATGATGAGTATGATTACTCGACTAGCCTGCAAGATCTTGGGGAAGGATTTCTGAAGAATTTCTGTAAGGAGGCGGCAACATCATTCTTCAACGAGTATGGCCTCATTAGTCATCAAATCAACTCATATAATGACTTCATACAAAATGGCATACAAAGAGTCTTCAGTTCTTTTGGCGAGATTATAGTGGAGCCTGGCTATGACCCGTCAAAGAAGGGAGACAATGAATGGCGCTATGCTTTAGTGAAGTTTGGGAAGGTTACTCTTGGTAGGCCAAGTTTTTGGGGTGGTTCTGACAATGATAAGGAGTATAATATGTTGCCTAGGCATGCTCGACTTCAGAACATGACATACTGCGCTAAGATGAAAGTGAATATCACTGTCGAGGTAAATTAATTTGATAATTAAGTTCAGTAGATGCATGAAATTTTAGTGCAGTTCTGCTGTCTCATTTTGACATTTTTTTTATACTGTAGATAGTCCGACTTATCTAGTTATGATTTTCAAGCTCTAATTCGCAAAGGCATTTAACATATATTTATTTGACACTGATTCTTTAATAGTACTGCTATAATTACAAATCATGATACCGTAGTTTGATTTATCATCCAGCTGTATCATATGTGGTAGGTGTCTTGTTTGTGTAGTTTCTATGTTGACAACCAATTTGGACGATAATAATCTTTAAATATTTCTTTTTATCTCCCCATTACATAATGTCTTATAATATGTGGATATTTGTAATGTGCCAGGTATATAATCAACGACTTGTCAGCAGTGATAAGTTTAAGACTGGAAAAGAACGGTTCCTTGACAAGGAAATTTTAAGTACAGATACCAGAGACATTACGGTTGGTAGCGTCCCTGTGATGGTGAAGTCTGACTTATGCTGGATGAGGGACGTTGAGAAAGGTGACTGTGATTTTGACCATGGAGGCTATTTTATTATCAAGGGTGCAGAGAAGGTGAGCCCAAAACTTAATTTAATTTCTGACATGCAGATAACTCACTATTATGATTGCAAATGAAATTTGCAGTTGATCGATGTGTAGAAATGTCAGTTTATCACTTTTCTAGATTTTGCTTGTTCAAACCTACTTGATGCCTTTAAAATTGTTTAACGGGACTCTGCTATGCAATGTAATGATTCTTTTCCCACGCAGTTCTAATGACATTTGTATAATTTATGATGCAGACATTTATTGCACAAGAACAGAGCTGTCTGAAGAAACTTCTCATTACAAATAATCAGGGTCTGACAGTAGCATATAGGTCAGAGGTGAAGAGGCATAGGTTAATAATTAGACTAGTCGGGATTTCTAAACTTGAAAACATTGAAGGAGTAGAGAAAGTCCTTACTGTTTACTTCATGTCGACAGAAATCCCTGTGTGGGTATGGTTTTTTGCCCTTGGTGTTTCATCGGATAAAGAAGTTATTGATCTGATTGATTATGGCAGTGAAGATGCCAGCATTTTGAACATACTTTTTGCCTCAATTCGCGATGCCGATAAAGCTACTGAAAAAGTGGATGGAGGCTTCCGTAGGGGGAAGAATGCCCTCAAATATGTGGATGATGTGATAAAGAAAACTGCGTTTCCACCCGGGGAAAGCATGGAAGAGTGCATCAGCTTGTATCTTTTCCCCAATCTCAGAGGTCTAAAGCAAAAGGCTCGCTTTCTTGGGTATATGGTGAAGTCCCTCTTACAAGCCTCTGCTGGTCGCAGGAAATGTGACAATAGGGATGACTTTAGGAACAAGAGGTTGGACTTGGCGGGTGAGCTTCTCGAACGAGAGCTAAAGGCGCATATTGGACATGCAAGGCGGCGCATGGCAAAGGCCTTGCAGAGAGACCTTTATGGTGATCGGGTTGTGCGGCCAATTGAACACTACCTAGATGCCTCCATAGTTACTAATGGCATTTCAAGAGCATTCTCAACTGGAGCATGGTGTCATCCCTTCAAGAAAATGGAGAGGATGTCTGGTGTAGTGGCAACAGTTGGGCGAGCAAATCCGCTGCAGACAATGATTGATATGCGGAAGACAAGGCAGCAGGTTCAATATACAGGGAAGGTTGGAGATGCCAGATACCCGTGAGTAACTTTTTAACTTATTTCAACTTATGTTTCCTGCTGTCGTGCAATAGCTTTATCCTAGTCGGTGGTTCAAAGAATATAGCTTTAGCTTAAAAATGCTTTGCTCTTAGATTTTTCTTTTTTTTTTTTTTTTTTTTTTTTCAGTTGAAAGTTCTTCCTTACACTATTAGAACCTTTGTCATCCCATTCCATATATCAACACCAAAAACACAATAAATTAGTTTCAGTTGTAAATGAGTTTAGGTTTCATTGGAATGAATTATGTACTGTAAGTAGTTTGCCATTCTCTTACTAACTGCATGCTCTTTAAAATACCTGCTGCATTAAATCCTTGGGGTTTTTACTTTTTTTTTGTTTGTGAGATATTTGGACAATTGAAAGTGTGGCTTACAGAACCTTGTGGATGCAGGCATCCTTCCCACTGGGGTAAAGTATGTTTTCTCTCAACTCCGGATGGTGAGAATTGTGGGCTTGTAAAAAATTTGGCTACCACCACAATAGTAAGTACGAATATATTGGAGTCTCTACTACCGAATTGTCTCTCTGTGGAATGGAAAAATTGGTGGATGATACTTCTACCTCACTGCAAGGGAAGTTCAAAGTTTTTCTGAATGGGGATTGGGTTGGAGTTTGTGAAGATTCCCTCTCATTTGTCTCGGAACTCAGGAGGATGCGACGTAGGAAAAAGTTGCCACCTCAGGTTTTCTATTGTTCAATCCCATTGATGAGTTTCAAATTTCAAATTGCTTTGGTCTTGTTATGATGGCCATAATTTCTTGTGCGCTTCAGTTTAGGGAGACATTTTGAATTACAATGCGTAAAGATTAATCTTATATTACAGCTTTAGGAGCATTGTTTATCACAGTATTTCGTGTTCTAGTATAACCTTTTTATTTTTTAGTTGGTCTCTTTATTTCCAAGGGTATACTTCATAATTCTGTATTATTTGATTCCCAAGAAGCTAGCTATTGTTGGATGCTTTCCTGATCTAGTTACATTTGCTTTATTGAGTTGGTTTTTCTTTCCTGCCTGTTTGATACTTCTGTCTTTTAATTAGGGATTCTAATTTGCTTATTCTTTGCTTATAAGCAATCAACCTTTACGTAGTCCTCAAAGTTTTAATTTACCTGCTAATTCTACAATATTTTTCATTCGTAGTAAGTAAATAGATGATGGACGTCTGCATTCCTTGGAAAAATTTAGGTCAACTGCTCTTCATACAATGGTTTTCTAGTAAGCCAGTAGCATGTACTTATGATGCATATCTCAGTTATTAGAATCAGTTTTCATATTACCTGCTATTTATACAGTTATTTTCCTTCACTAATAAGCAATTAGCTTGCATTTTTATGATGGATACCTAATTATGGTCAATTTTCTCTTAGGTGGAAATCAAAAGAGATGAAAAGCAAGGAGAAGTACGAGTATATTCTGATGCTGGAAGGATCCTACGCCCTCTCTTGGTGGTTGAGAATTTGAACAAGATAAAAGCATTGAAAGGGGAAAAGCATCCGTTCAAGTATTTCCTTAACAAAGGAATAATCGAGCTTATTGGAGCTGAAGAAGAGGAAGACTGTAGTACTGCATGGGGCATTAAATATCTGTTCATGGAAGAAAAGGGAAAATCTAGCTGTAAAGTACACACATTGTGAGCTGGACATGTCATTCCTGTTGGGTTTAAGCTGTAGCATTATCCCATTTGCGAATCATGACCATGCAAGGAGGGTCCTCTACCAGGCTCAGAAGCACTCGTCGCAGGCTATTGGGTTTTCTACCACAAATCCTAACCTTCGAGTGGATACACTGTCTCACCAACTGCACTACCCCCAGAGGTCACTTTTTCAGACAATGACGTCTGACTGCCTTGGCAAGCCAGGACACCAACTGGGTAAAAACAGAGTTTTGCCGAAGCCCGAATTGTACAATGGTCAGAACTGCGATTGTGGCAGTCAATGTTCACTTGGGGTTCAACCAAGAAGATAGCATAGTAATGAATCGGGCATCACTGGAACGTGGTATGTTCCGATCTGAGCATATCAGAAGTTACAAGGCTGAGGTTGACAACAAGCACTCCCTGGAGAAAAGGCGGAAGCCTGATGATTGTGTCAATTTTGGCAAGATGCAGAGCAAGTTTGGTCGGGTTGACAATCTCGATGAAGATGGCTTTCCCTACGTTGGTGCAAACTTGCAGAGTGGCGATATCATCATTGGGAGGTGCAGTGAGTCAGGAGCTGATCATAGCATCAAACTGAAGCATACTGAAAGGGGAATGGTTCAGAAGGTTGTGCTTTCTTCTAATGATGATGGAAAGAACTTTGCCGTTGTTTCTATGAGACAGGTAAATCTGACTGAAATAATATTTTTTAAGGCATGCCTATTGTTTTTAACAAGTCCAGTTTAAGAATTTCCATTCACTAATTACATTTGTCACTTTTTGAATAGGTTCGCTCACCGTGTCTTGGAGACAAGTTCTCCAGCATGCATGGGCAAAAGGGTGTTCTAGGTTTTCTGGAGTCTCAAGAGAACTTCCCTTTCACAGTACAGGGGATAGTTCCAGATATTGTGATAAATCCCCATGCATTTCCGTCAAGACAAACTCCTGGTCAACTCTTAGAAGCTGCTTTAGGGAAGGGAATCGCCTCTGGTGGTTCAAGGAAATATGCCACCCCAGTTCTCTACTCTCTCTGTCGATGACATCGCAGAACAACTGCATAGGTAACTCTGTCATTCTAATTCATGACTTGTATACTTCAACTGCACCGCCGTTAAACAGTCCATTTTAATTTCACATTCCACCCTGGCATAATTTTACTTCTCAGACTCTCAGCCATGGCATTTTCTGTTGAAATTTCTCTCTGGATATTCAACGTGCAATTTAATACGCGGCTTGTTAAATTAGTCTGAATTTTTACTGAATGTTTGTTGCTAGATAAAAGAATGGTAAAAGCTTTCTTCACTGTGTTGTCCTGAGTATGTGCCATGGTTCCCTGCATAAATTCACTTCGTATAACTGAATGTGGATTTTTTTCCCTTAAGGTTTCTGAGCACAATCATTTCGACCCTTCGCTTTTCAGTTATCGGTTCCTTTACAACTTAGATGTTATTAGTTAGTAGACTGCATAAAACTTTTAAAGCGGAAGTCTCATGTCTGAATTGTTCTGGCATATAAGCAGATGTTCTTTTCTATATTCCCCCGTTGAATGAATTAGAGTTGTTCATGTATCGTTTAATATGTACTGTCAGGGCTGGATTTTCAAGATGCGGAAAAGAGAGAGTATACAATGGTGGAACCGGTAAAATGGCTCGTTCCCTCATATTCATGGGCCCAACCTTTTACCAGCGCCTGATTCACATGTCTGAAGACAAAGTAAAGTTCAGGAACACTGGGCCAGTCCACCCTCTCACCCGTCAACCAGTGGCAGATCGGAAGCGATTTGGAGGGATCAAGTTTGGAGAAATGGAACGTGACTGCCTAATAGCCCACGGAGCTTCAGCAAACTTGCATGAGCGCCTTTTCACTCTCAGCGACTCCTCCCAGGTGTATATCTGTCAGAAATGCGAACATGTAGCTAATGTGATCCAACGATCAGTTGAAGGAGGACGCAAGATCAGGGGTCCCTACTGCCGGAATTGCAATTCTGCAGATGATCTTGTCAAGGCAAACGTCCCGTACGGAGCGAAGTTACTGTGCCAGGAGCTGTTCAGCATGGGCATCAGTTTGAAGTTCGAGACTCGCTTCTCTTAGAGTGAAGGAAAAGTAGTGGAATGGGGGAAACCCTTAATCTGACTTATGAATATTTTGTTTAGTACCAATCTGCAGCTCTTGTATATTTTCTTGCTACGACTTGTTATTAGGACATCTAACTTGTTATGTACTACTTATGTTTCCCTTCATAAGATTGTAGGTTTGACGAGGACAGTGTGTGCGTCCTCTTGCATCCAGATTCAAATCTCTCGCCCCATAAATTTAAGGTTTCACTTGTTTGTTTGGATCACTTTACATTTGTTTTTAAACAATCCAAACTGTTGTTTTTAGCTCTCAAAAGAAAAATCACCAAAACTGAAAGTTATATGACCGTTGAATTAAATGGTGATTATTTAGAGTTGATGCCGTAATGATTCTAGATTTGTTTAACTTCTTGCAAGATTGATCTACGATGAATTAAAATGTAAGCGGTTTGAATCGTCCAAAAAAATTCGTGTCTTGCATATAATTTCTTAAGAAAAAAAAAAAGTGAAACATATAACTCGTCTGGATGTGAACCAAAACCCACAACAATTTCATGGTTGTCTGAGAGAGTGAAGACAAAGCTTTATATTCATTCTTTGACCAACAAAAAATAACAAAGTCCTCCAGAAGCCATTAGCAACTAAAAGCCTCTACCTTCAGATGATACAACTCTATTACAAACGAACTCTTAACTACTCTCGACGAAACAGGCGTTGCATGAGCTCCGAATCATTTTTTGGGTGAATCCGTCTCTTGCATAAATGGCTCTCGCAATGCTGTAGGCAGCTTCAGCTCCGGCTCAACTTCAGGAAGCGGTGAGAAATAGCAATCAACCATGTCTTTGGAAACATCTTTGAAACTAGGGGGGTTCCACTGCAGAATTGGATGGAAATCAATCATACGATCGCAGCTTGAGAAAAGATTTATGAAAACATTGTAATTTTCTCAGGACTAACCTTGGGCGCGAAGTCCTTGTCTACCAATCTTGCTCGAACGCCCTAAAGATGGATAGAAATGGGGCAATGTAATAGCGGATTAAACGACGTTCACTCCACTGTTAACCCAAAAACAAAAAAGACATTCGCTCCGTTAAACTTTGAGAACCACATACCTCAGAGAAGTCACTAGAGACCCGGTTGGAAATTGCAGCAAGAGATATACGATATTCACGAGCCAGACACTGATCCAGAGATTGAAATCTACCCTCGCGTATCTGAATGAAAAAATGAAAGTCAGGTAGAGAGTATAAAGCAATACAGGTCCAGCTCCATAACGTGCTAGGGAGTGGTAACTCACCGATCGTAAATGAAACTATCAAACTCAAAGGGGAGGCTTCTTTTATTTTCTTGAGGACTGTTTTGCACCATTCATCATAAGAGTCAGCAGCTTCCTTCTCCTGTACAATTTATTTCCTTTTCAAAGTTATTCACTAAAGCATTTGACAAAATCATAGTATATTCGAAAACATTTGGTTATGCTTATCTTGGCTAGCATTTTCGTGTTATCTTTTCTATCCAGGCCTTCCAAAAAGACTTTTCTTCAAATTCCTAGACCTCCTTTCAACACCTTCCTAGACCTAACACTGATAGGCTACCGACGAATAATGGTATTATTAAGTTGATGAACAGATGGTACTATAAGTTCTTTTTGGTTTATAACAATTATCTCATACTTACCAAAGCATCAGTAATTTCCTCAATTGTGTCATGGCTGAAACATCTATCAATAACGTCGAGCCTAAGTTGACATAAGAAAATGGAGATAAATCAAGTCAGACAGACAAATCGATGATACTAGAACTAAATTCTACGGAACTGATAAATCTTAGTGTTATTGCTGCAGTACTGAGAAATATGTGATAGAAAATTACTTAGAAAGTATACTCCTCCTGTCTAGATAAACAAGGTCACCATATTGTGCAAGAGCTGTTTCTATTACAGAAGGTTCATCTGTAACTAAATTTCCAAGGCGTTCTTCAACCATAGCAAGTCTCTGGCAGGATGAGTTTTGATGACTATTAGAAGCAGATTAATGATAAATTACAGAAACAAGTAAGTATAAATATGTGCAGGGCAAACAAACCGCATTTAACGCATAGTGCGTAGCAAGGCGACAGGCAACCATCTCCACACCATTAAGCTTGTCTCCTGTAAGAGCCAAGTATTCTCCTGCAAAATAAAAAAAAAAAAAAAAAAAAAAAAAAAAAAGATGAAAACATAATTCTTTTAGATATATGTAGAACTTGAAATTGTGATAAAGGCTGGACATCTTAAATTTACGCAGGTTATGTTACCTAGGTAGCCAGGTAGACGAGACAGATAAAAGGAAGCCCCTGCATCAGGATGGAAACCTATCTGGGCCTCTGGATTGGAAAATATCTGCAAAAATCCAGCACAGTTGAAAAGAATACAAATTATGCACTTCATTTAAGACAGTCACACAGGTAGAAAAGAAAAAGGAAGAGTTATTTTCTTTTTCAGAAGACTGGAAGATGCATCACTCAAAGTGTAAACAAGCATAGCTCGGAGTCTTTGATGCGCAAGGTTTTTCTTCAAACTTGAAAATGATTCCAGAGTAAAAAAAACATTTACGTTTTCTTGTATAGCAATAATTTATCTTGAACTTGCTTGACAAAATATGTTGCACTATGCATGCATTGTAAAACTTGCACTTTAGAATGTTCAGCATTTTAAACTCTTGAGTATATCTGAACCAATCAAGCATCTCCTCCCGCCATAGTCACATCTTCAACAAGGTTGAATGCTTTAATTTCAAGTCGCACAAGACAAGGTTTGGGGTAAAAATCTTTTTCGTTTATGATGTTAGGAGATAAATCAGCCCTCAAACAAAAAACACAAGACCAAAATCTGGTGAAACCAATTGGTAAGTAAGCAGCAGCCACATACAGTCTTATCAGTCACCACGCGAAACATTCCTGGGATTGAAATTCCAGCCCCAGCTCCCATGGTGATACCATCCATGATAGCTACCTGCACAAATATGATAAAGCGATCAAAGCCACATTTAAATTTGACAGGGACTTGAAAGTACATTTCTATGCATAAACAGATCTTTATACTTCAGGAAATCAAAACGTATGTACAACTGTAGTCTGCTACATGCCTACAACCCTACTCAGGTTATGCAATAGAAGCAGCGCTAGTTTATTAAAATTATAACATACAATTATAGTATAAACTATAAAGCACATAGGTATAGAAAAGATAAATACTCACGTGTGGCTTCAAGTACGTTCCTTGAATATACACAAACTTATACAATGTCTCGAAAAACTTTTTACATTCATCAAGATTCCCTGCACATTATTAAAAAAATTGAAAGGAAAACAAACAATGCCATGTAAGTATCCAACAGTGAAGATTAGAAAAAGAAAACGGCACCAAACAGGCACGGAAATGTGCACTAAAAGTGTCACAAGCAAAACCTCAAGGAGGCATGTCTAATCACAATGATGTATCTAAAATCAGCATAAAAGATAAACAAGTAATTAACACTGAAGAAAAGATTCAGTATGAGAAAGTAGAAATGGCATTCCCAAACAGTTGGAATGCTCGCGATCAAATTTTAAAGTACATCATTATGTGTGCTAAAAGTACAATATTGAAGAATTTGTTCTCATTATGTTAATGAAGATAGAAAAAAATTAGATGCACACAGTTATAAAACAAAATTACTCGAGTTTATAATCGATACCTTGAACTAAACGACGTGTAAAAAAATTAGCAAAACAAAATGATTGGGTTACCTTCATTCACTAGTTGATAAAGGCTAACAGCATCTGCACCGGCGCAGAAAGCCCTCCCACTACCCTTCAAACAGCAGAAAATCAAATAGCACCTCAGACAAAGTCTTTCAAAATAGTTCTCAGCACATTGCAAGAAGTTAAATAATCCGATTAACGAAACAAAGCATGACGCCATTAAACCCGAAGACTGTTTTCTCATGGGAACAACGCAATACCTTCATCAAGACAAATCCAATGTCCGGGTTATCCTCCCACGATTCATAGAGTCTCTTCAGTCGAGCTGCCTATAAAACCCAACAACGAAAACATCTAAAGATCCGAAATTTATCCGAATTAAGCAACACCACCATAACAAAAACTCTAAGGAAGCAACACAAATGAAGAACAGCAACAGCACAAACCATGGAACTGTTGAGAGCATTGAGTGCAGATGGCCTGTTGAGAATTGCCGCTCTCGATTTGGCTCTTCCCTCCACCGTAACCTGAGTTTTTTACGTTCACAAACAAATGAACCAATGCAGAAAAAAACCAAAAACCCAAATCGAATTAATCAAAAAAAGAAAGATTGGTGCTTCTCTAGAAATGAAATGGTTAGAGAGAGAAAGAGAGAGAGAGACCAGGTCCTGGACGTCGTCGTATTGGGCATAGCTTGGTTGGGCAGAAAAGGCTCTGCGATGAGAGAGAGAGCTGCTTCTTCCTCTCTGAGCCGCACACCTCCTCAGAGCTTCAATGGCTTTTGCTCTATGCATCTCTCTCTGCTATTCTTTCAGCGCTCTCTCAATCAGTCTCCAGTCTCAGCTAAAACCCTGAAACAATACGCACCGTTTTTACTGTAAATGCATCAATCATACTCTCTCTCAACCGTTGGATTCTCTGACTTATGATTAAGGTTATTTGATCAATGACTTCTGGTGGGTCCGGGCTTTGTGATTGGGTCCAGCTTGAACTGGATCGACTCACTGAGAGCCCAAGGAGCACTCGGGCCCGAAGGACCATAACTCAACTTTCACGATGCCATAATTCAAGGTGGAGAAATTTTTAGCTGGTGAATCACATCATTAATCCGACCATACTCACAAAAAAAGAATCTCTTGTATGAATCTCACAAATTTAATTCACATAAATACAAGAGATCTCACCGTGACTTGGTAGTATAATTTAGTCTTATATAAAATTATATTCTTAAAGAAAAAAAAAAGTAGCTAAACCAACCATAAATAAAATTTCGAATGCTTAACTAATCAAAATTAAATAACAGTGACATGCGGAAAAGGAAAGCGATTAGATACCGATGACATACAAGAAGTAGCACTTGACGAGAAACGCACATCATTTTTCAAGTGGAACCAAAAGATGTGAGACAAGGCACTCAGATAAAACTGATTACATTTTAGCTACATTTTAACTACAGTAAACTCCATTTGAGATAATATGATCACCAGCTACAACAAATTCTACTCCTTTGTACACTTGCAGTGGAATTTTCCAAACTCGTTCAATTCCGGTCAGCCCTGAAACCCCGATTTAGGAGATAGAATGCCTCCGGTGTCTTGAAACCGACTTTGAATCGCCAGGAACATTCGAAGTTGGACTATGAGAACTCCCGGATGTCTCCGAGCTCTTGTTCTCTACATGCCCCTTCCCCACAGACCACAATTTGTCGAAGATTCTCCTTGACCTAGATGGCAGCAACTGCGAACCACTTGCGCTGTTTTTGCTGCTCTTCTTGCCAAGTTTCATGTTCTTCTGGAACTCTTCGGTTACCTTCATTTGGCTCATCTGTTTTCCCAGAGGCTTGCAGTTTTCTTCTGCTGTCTTGTTGCGTTCTTCGTCCATATTTGTCGTGGAAAGTGAAGTGTCACTGGGATGGTTGTTAAGGGCTCGAACGCTAGCTGCAGATCTTACCTGCTCAAAGAAGAGAACTTGAACAACAACTCGGAGTGGGAGCTTCTCGTTCTGTGCAGCATCCATGGATGCCTCTACTGTAAGTTTCTTGACATCCATCAATCCGCATATTCTTTTCCTTTCAGCCTTTGTTAAACTAGGGTGCTCCTGCAGACACGGAACTAATCATCACTCAAATCTCAGAAACATGACAAGGCAACTCTAGTGAGAAGCAAAAAGCATGCGAAGTAAAATCAAAAGAATAAATAAACCTAGCGGACATGGCTTAAATGCATACCTTCAGGTAGATGTCGATGGCTTTGTACAACCCATCGTGAATTGGCCGTGCTGACTCGGGAATTGATTGGGACAACTCTACGAAACTACTGAGGTTAAGGTTTGGGTCATGTGCAATTTCCGCAAGATACCCATCAACCAGTCTACCAACACTCAACAACGTAAAAGTATCTGTCCCCTTTTCATTCTTCTCGACAAAATCCAAATCCCACTTATACTTTTCATGCATCACATACTGATTCACAACAGACTGAACCAACTCAACATCATATATAGTAATCTGAGGAGATCGAGCGGGGATCAACAAGTCACTGACACAAGCTTCATGCAACTTCAAACTGATCCTCTTCACCAGCTCCTCCCTCAACGACTCGTCTGCTCCAACCAAAATAGAAACTTTCAAAAGTTTCAACAAGAAACTTGATGAACAACCCATACCTTTGTCAGACGGCAATAAGCAAATAATTGTTTTTACCAGAGATTTGTTCCTCAAGGCGTGTTCGTCTGAAACCAGTGCATCAACAGAATCTGGCAACCATCTAACTGCATAAGTCTTCAGAGCCTCCCCAATAACAGTGCCATCCATTCTTCCCTTCGATTTCACAGCAATCATAACTCGCTTGTAGAGATCAATATCCAACTCACATATGTCTTCAACCCACCAATCCCTTGGAACTTTTTCAATTTTTTCTCGATAATTCATCCCTTCTTCAATAATTTTATCAGGCTCTGCTAGTTTTCGGTTATACGTATAGGACCAGGTGATGTTAGTAGGGTCTACAGACGTTTTAGAAGCAATTGAATCTATGCATCTTCCGACAATCTTCAGATCCTCAGACCATGACAGAAGAGATTTGGTGGTTTGTAGTACAATAATGGAATCCTTCCAGCTACGGAAGATACTTGAGTTAAGGAACACATCAATTTTGTATATTAGGTTACTGCGATCAACATCCTCGGTCATCTCCAGATACTCAGCAGCACAACGAGCAGCCACAACATTGTAAGCGTTCAGAGTAACAGTCATTCCATAGCAAAACTTTGCACAAATTTCAAAGGATTTTGGCCCACCAGGAAAATCAACCATGTCAACTTCTTCAGAATCGTCGTTGGCTTTAGATACTAGTTTTTGCAGGCGATTGCTCTTGGACAAGAGAGGGAACTGGAAAAACAGATATAATCAACAATATGAAACAGAGCTCGATTCAGCAGAGAAAGTGGCAGTAATTCTAGTAACAAATGTACCACTCAATGATAATCACCAACATTTCAGATTCACCGCTATTATGTTCATTGGAACATAAATCGAAAAAAACATTCATATGCACATATGACATCCAAACAAATCTAATGCTATTATGGTAAAAAATTATGTAAATTGATGAAAAAGGGTGGCAAGGAAAAAATACCTTGTGAAGGTAAAACTTCACTTCCCCAACATTAATAACAACATCTGTTTGCAAGTCAGATGACACATATCTGCATGAACATACGAAAACCAGTTAAATCGCCTAGACATGAGGATCATAGAAACTGCAAGAAGGCACGCATTTACAAAATATCCCATAATTGGATCCGTACGAGGCAAGCAGTTACAAAAAAAATCATTTATAAAATATCGGGCTTAAGTGCATCAAGATTTTCTTTTTCTTAGTAAAGTTTTACTATGAGAAGGTGGCTTGCGGAAAACTCCACAACCGATGTCAGATCATAGACTTCAAATTCGAGCTGTAGTTGAAACTAAAATGTCATAAGGAAACTAGACATGCAAGAATTAAGCGATTTTCAATCAGTTTCATATTTATTCAGATGACGGCAAAACAATCCACAGGAAGAAAAACCCGTCCGCTAATTTGTTTAAAGACAAAAAATTGCAAATGAGAAAATCGGTTAAGATGGTTTGAACAAGTGAACTGACCTACAAATGCCCTAGTTAGAAGATGCGATTACGAGATAGAGGCTCAAAGAAAGAGGGGTAGAGGAAGACCTAGAAAAGACATAAGAGTACTTAGAGCAAACGGAATATTTTACGCAAAACCAGGGTAGTGGCGTCCTAGGATTCATACAGCCAACCCCGCTTAGTAGGATAAGACTTTGTTGCTATCGTTTGTTGATTGAACCGATGTCATCGTTCACCAGAAGAATTTCACAGGTGTCATGATTACAGATCTTGGGGGCACTCCATATGACTTTTACCACATTTGGACCACAAAACTCGATAAAATAGTGACATTCCAAATGCAGGACCACATCCTGAAAGACAACTGCCACACCACAACTCCCTACAACCCTACACTCTCCAAAATTAAAATAGGCAATACTTTTAAGGGGAGAAAGAATAACAATGATACGAACAGCACAAAACGCCCATGTGCTTTCTTCCTTCCCCTACCTTTGTTTTCTTGTTTATTTATCTCCTCAAAAGTTTCTTGTAATATCCTATCCCAAAAATAAAGGGTTTTGTTCTGGATAGGTGGTAGCTAATCTTTCACGTTTTTTCAGCATTTTCAGGTAAATAATTCACCACCTAGTAGTAAATTAGTAATTTCAGGCTTTTCTTTCACCATTCAACGGCAGCATTTGACCAGCTCTCTACAGAAACAGAGCATACTTGCAGAAAGAAAGAATAACTCAAAACACATGTTTTTTGTCAAGCAAAAGTTAACAATTTCACAATACTAGAGAGAGAAAACGGACCCCATTTACTTAAAATTTCACAATTCTAGAGAGAGGAGAAAACCCAACATTCAGAATCTAAGAGAAGTTCATCGAGTTCATAGCATTGACAGGAGAGGCAAAGAAAATTAAAAACAAAACAACACTGGAAAATATAAAAAGGGAATTTAAAGGTTTTTTGAGAGAACAAATGAAAAGCCATTTTACCTGATAGACTTGCCATCAGCCTGAAATGCATCAGGCTTGGACCCCAGCTTCATAAACTTCATTTTTGTGCCAAAATACCCTTCTTAGCCACCAGAAATTACAGCACCAAAGACGTACAAACGAAGTCCAACTCCTCCACGGAGATTATAGACTCCGTTCCGTTTCTTCTCAAGCTGCGTCAATGCCAACCTTCTCTCTCCTCCCTCCCTCTCTCTCTTTCTCTCTCTCTCTCTCTCTCTCTCTCTCTCTCTCTCAAATGGCGGGTCCTGAGGAACTCTCAGCCGAACAGAGAGACAAAACCCCTCTCCGCCCTTGAGGACAAAACCAAACTCCGAGACCAGAAATGCCGTCTCCTTCTTCCCTTGCTCTCTCTCCTGTCCCTCTCTCTAAAACACGCAATCAGCAGACCATAAACGTTTGAAACGAGACAAGCACTGTCCCTGCCCTTATCGCAAAAGCCTCGACCTTTGCGCCCTCCGCATTCGTTTCCCAAGCCTTTGTGATGACATTGATGACGCTTCTTACACAAAACCCACAACTATTTCCGCCCAATCGCAAAAACCCACAACCCAAAATATAAAAAAGTTGGACAAAGTATTGAATTTTCAGAGGATTTTATGAATAAACCATGCGCTGTCTCTCTTGTTTCCCTCTCTAACCCACAACCCGAAAAATAAAAAAAATGCAGAAAGAATCGATTTTTCAGAGGATTTTAATGAATAAACCAAACCCCACTCTCACCTCTCTCTCTCTGCTTTCTCTCTCTAACAGTCTGCAAGCAGAGAGGGAATAATAAATTGTCGCCGCCTTTGCTTTAAATCACTTCCTGACCCGCTGAAGATCTTCCCCTCTCGTCGTTTCTTTATGATTTTTTTTCCCAAGGCGCGAATCTCGACGACGACTCGATATGTAATCTGACGCGGCTGTCTCCTCCCCGCTCTGAAATTTGCAGCGAAAGAGGAAAGGAGAGAGGGAGGGGGAAAGTTAGAGAGAGAAAGTGGTGGTGGTGGAGTGAGGTTTGGGTCTAGTGAGAGAGTGCGTGGGTGTGTATAGAGAGTAGGGGACTGTGTTAACAGAGTATCTCAAAGGACTTTTAAGAAGCTTTTATGCCGTTAATGCACGCCACCCTTTCATGGACGATTTTACCCTTAGTATTTTGTCATTTATGCCCGATGTGTCCCTTCTCTTCTCGTCGTCTTTGCTTCGCGGGAGATCTTGAGTTACGCGCCGGCGAGGGAGAGTGGGCGGGGTTGGTGGGGTCCTTGTGCCGGGTGGATGTTCCTGGGGTTTGACGCGTAGCTAAGACGAGGAACTTTTGACTTTGGACGCCAAAGTCTATATTTAACTTAAGAATGAGAATTTGATAAAGATTGTTCGTCTTCGAAAACAAAATATATGACACGAATATGCTAATATTATAACTTTTCATTAACAATACAAAGCAAATGACTTGTATCATCGTTCGAGTAGGATTTTCTTCCTTTTAAATTTTCTTCCCTTTAAACTTTCTTCCTCTTCTTCTCTTTATAGAGTAAATTGTAACACTAATATGATGACACTATATAACATTCACATTAACGCGATATAATTGTAACTGTTCAAATATGAGGATATTAAAAAAGAAAAATTTGGACGGAAGAGAATACATCTGTTTGGCAAAATTTATCCCGGTCTAGACGTTTTTCTTCGAGAGTAATATGGATTTGCTAGTTTAAACTTTTTTTGTAAGATAATCAAAATTATACTCTCATTACAATAGAGAATACCAAAATAAAACTTATCGTAATCATAATTCATTAGTTCACTCTCTTGAACTACATCACTGAGATCATGTCATGACTCATAATTCATAAAACCTAGAATGTAAGATCAATACATAAGCTCGCATCTTGCAACTTAAGCGAATTTGTAATTGTTACACTAAAAAAGCACTCATTAAGTAGATAATAAAGAGCATTGATTAAGTAAAACAAGTGATTACATATTTACGATCAAATCTTCAGCTGATGAGATTATATAATGAAAACCATTATATAATCTACCTACCGTGCAAGCAGATTAAAGTTAATCGGATTGAGATCCTCTCAGGATAAAAGACTCCAAAATCTAGGTTGTTTAAAAGATAGAAAGATATCCGTATATTTTAAGTTTTTGAGATACTATGGAATGGGCTAGTAAAATGAGTCAACAAATATTGTAGGATTGAAACTGAGTTGGCTAAATTCGAACTCCTAACGTAGAAATCCAAAATGTATATGACAATACGAATCCAAATTAATCCACCGACTATCACCCATTCACATTTATTATTATCCATGGCATGAACCAGATCTATTTTAAGCAGTAAATTCACAGACAACATGCAATCAATTGGTCAAACAAACCAAATTTCAAACACCTAACTTTTCCTTTTCCTTCGTTTAATTATTATTATTATTTTTTGTTTCTTTTAATAATACAGCCTTAAAGCTTCGGTTTTAAGCTTCAAACTTCATGCACATGGTAGGTCGTGTGTGACATTTAGGATCCTAGGCAATGGTTCATTTTGGCAAACTTAGAAATTTGACCATCCACTCTTTGACTTTTACTAGCCCGATTTAGACTCCAGAGTTTGGTTCATACTCGTTAAATGATTCTAGCTCATAGTCAATAATTTTATTATGTTTTCGCATGAATGTAGAACTAAATATGCGACTAAAGGTTCAATAATCAAGATCAAACAGATAAATGATTCTGGTATATATTATTTACCGATGAATATTAAAAAGCCGCTTATGTACTTTGCTTCAAGTCAAAAGCCAGTAGAGTAGGCAGTAGTTAATTTAACGAGTACAAAACATATTACTTGAATTGCCTAACTTCCACTATACTAGACTATTACAGACAATTACAGAATGCCCCCTTCAGGTAATACGGCTTTCGTGAGTAATATGTGAAGCAGCTGAGCGATGGGTCTCTTTGATCGCTATATTCTTGCAATAGCAAGGGCATAGTTCATCCCTTAAGAGAAAGTAGATGCGAAGATTCGGATCAAAAATCTTCGCTTCGGCTATCTCGCGAAGTTCAGCACTCGAAGGCTTGAGGAGCAGTTGAATTGCCTAACCTCCACTATATTAGACTATTATAGTCAATTAGAGAAGGACCTGGTTTCTCTGCCCTTCCAGTTCCCATACACTCTCATCCCCTCCTATTTGTGCGGTCACGGTTAAGCAACGTCAACATGTTATATCACTATTGCTTTTTGTCTTATTATCTCTACAAAAAAAAAAAATCAATATGAAATGTAGAAGTTGCTTAACCGTGACCGCACAAAATAGGAGAGGATGAGAATGTGTGGGAACTGGAAGGGCAAAGAAGCTGGGTCCATTAGAGAAACCTCTTACATGCATGAAACGTATGTGATAATTAATTAATTCGATGGTTGTCGGACGCTAATTCAACATAGTCCTGATTATTTTAACAGTATTTATCAGTTAGTACAAGGTAATTAAACTAGAAAATGAAAGTATAAACTTTGACAAAACCAACCAAGAAACTACTTCGTAAGTGAACTTAATTAGGTTTTGAATCTAAATTAGGGGGTATGTCGACTTCACATGTAATATGAATGACTTTACTGTTACGTAGTGTTTGAATTTGATAATGCAATATTACTGTGGTGAAATTTTTTAATAATATTCTACATTACTTAATTAGAGCGCCACAATAGCAGTAAATTTGTTCTGTATACAAATTTCTCCTTGTAGAGAGAAGAACAATGTTTGGCTACTCAATGATGAGTAAGAAGTTCTATTCAAAACTTTTCGTGTTCGAATCACAAAGTTTTGTGCATATGATCAGAACTGTTCATATTATGAATCACTCCATAAAGATCATCCATGCAAAATATCAATTAAGATTAGGGTCGTTTAGTCAATCTATATTGTAGCAAATACATAGAGACGTTCATAATGCATTTACTAATTCCGTTCATTTGGTTTTATAAACCTTGATGACGAAACGATATTAGTTTTAATTGATTTTTTTTTTCAGAAGCAATCTTCACATAGTGATTTATAATATGAATAATTATGATCATAAATACGAAGATCATAAATATGAACCCTTATGAACCGACAACGAACAATTTTAAGTTGAAACTCTTACTCATTCTTTGAGTAACTAAATATTATTGAAGAAAGAAATGACAAGCAACTGTGCAGGACAGGTGAGATATATGTGTGTTGGTGAAGTTGAACCATGATTTCCCTGTCAACTTAATATCAATTGGTCCAATAATTTTAATAGTTAGCAGAGCTACTATTGGTCCCTTGAGCCATAGGGCCTCTGGGTTTTGTACAAAGTGTAATCAATTCCCTTAAATGTATACTTATTTTCTTGGGCAAGAGAACCTTTCAGAGTACAAGTTCCCCCATTTCTCTCACATCTTTACAGCTGCAATTCATCATTCTACCTTTCCTCAACGACTTCTGCTACTTTATCCTTTAATGTCTTCATATCAAAACATTTCTTCTTTTTTGATGAAAAAAAAATCAATAAACGGATGAGGAAGAATCGAGCTCACTTATCAATAAGTGAGCTTGATTCTTCTTCATAAGAGCGTTTTCAGCCCATCCCAATTAGTAGGGTAATTGGGCAAAAATCACCCAAAAGAAGGAAAAATAAGTGATCGAGCCCACGCCCAAAAGTTGAGTAATTTAGTTGCCTAACCCAACCTGACCACTAAATTTGAGGATTACCGCCTGACCTTGTGCTCAAGGGATATGACATCAGCCATGACCAAAACAAAGGGGATGGAGAAGGATTATCGCCTGACCTTGTGCCTAGGTCTCCATCTCCTTCCTCTGTGACAACCTTGGCCGCTTCAATGATTTCTGGGTTGTTGTCGCTTTGACGATTTTTGGGTCGGATTTTACCGAAGTATGTATAACGCTCACACTCGATTACTTAAACTAATTAAGATAGTGAATGAGTTACATATCATGAATGCACCAACGATCACACACATAAATGTACGACTGACTCTAACACAACTCAAACAGTGTAAATAGTATTTCCAATATTGATTCACATGTTTAAGGCACGTACATTTGTTCATGATGTAAACTCGTGGCTCTCCTCCAAAGTAGAAATTAGTAATGGGCGTGAGCCTACCATCACAAAGTGATGATATATATATGATAGAAAGAAAGAAAGAAAATATGAGGGTCCCAAGCCAATATAGCTTTATAGAGAGGAGGAGGGGTTTGATCTCTGATGTGCTTTTTTGCTTGGCAAATAGGTCAATGTGGGGGACCATACATGCCTTGGTGAAGAATATAAGTTTGCACGTTTTGGGTTTGATTGGTGGTGTTTGGGTTACACATTGGAAGATTCTGTCCAGGTTTTATGCCCTTAAAGCTCGACATTTACTTACCCATATATCACCTCTGCTTCCCCTCCCTCCCATCTCCCGCGTACACACACTATATCGCGAGTATGAAATTTGGCTCGTGTCCTAAACCCTAAGTAACTGAAATCTAAATCATATGTAGGGGGTGATCATGGGGTTGTGTTCGTGTTACTTATTTATTTTTGTGTTGTGTTTGTGCCCATTATGTGTTGATCAATATGTAGGCAGATATGAAAATCATAATAGAACAATTGAATAAACAGTACTACTCATCGAAAAAGGAAAAAAGTTGTGTTAATCATGTCTTGTCATGTCATGTATTTGTGCGCGTTTTGAGTCATTTTAATGTGTTATGTGGAATTTCTTTGGTAAATTGAAATGATATTACGCTTATGAGTTATAATCATGTCATTTAAACCTAGGTTGGAAAGGTTCAATTGGACCGTTCTCAACAAATTAAATGCTCATTTTGGTTTGGTGGTTAGCTTGATTGAGCGGTTTTTTTCCCCAACCCCTAATTATGAGAATTCAAACTTAAAATATCGACTCCCCATTTCATACTTACATATACGCTATTTACAATTTATTTCATACTCACTTAATCTGAAGATCGATCAACCCCACATAATGCAAGTGGCAATCTAGGGTTACCACAAAGAAACCACAACCAGAAAATTCAACTTCAAAATATACCTATATTTATGAGGTTATGCAAATCTTAAAAAGGAAGGAATCTCTCTTTGTCCATCCATCAAGTAATGAGAGTGATTTTCTGTGGGTTTTTTTGCTTGTTTTGGTACAAGTAGATGAAGATGATGCACGTCCACTTCAAGTCATTACTCCGAAAGGATATTGGATAAGTAAACGATGTTTCTCCTTCCCCTCCTTTTGTTCAAGTGGATGCCTTCTCCATGTAAAGAACAACCTCCTTAACAAATTGACATTTATGCAGCTTATATGCCCATGAGAAACCAATCCTCTGAAGCACGGTATGATAATGTTAAAGTTTCAGAGAGACAGGACGTGGTCTACCACTAATAGCGTCGATATTGTTCACACTTAATCACCCATGCAATTATTAAGTTTGAGATTTCTATGCAAGAGGCCTTCATACAATTAGAAGTGGAACCATTTGATATGAGTTATACATGACAACTTTCATTCACTTTGTAGGGGAACCTTTATATGGGATTGTATCGATCCCGATATTCTTTTCAACATTCTTGCTGAAAATGTAAACTTACTGGTTAAACTTGATTGAATAAATTCTACATTTCGACCAAAAAAACGAGGAGACTCAATTGGGCTGGGTTGCTAACGCTCACGGTAACGGATATGAAGTGGACATTTTTTAATTACTTTTATACTTTTTTAATTTTTGAATCCATTAGGCTCGCAAATTAAGAAATTTTGAATTTTCACAAATTGCAAAACCCCCCACTCTCGTATTCGCGCACCATAGTTCGAACATGACCAACATTTTTTATTTTACAAATGATTAATTCATATAAACTACATGTAATGAGAGTTAAAATTAAAAGGCATTAGGTTAAAAAGGAAGACATTATTCACCGTTTACGCTATGCGCCGACGATAACATTATTCACCATTTGTTGGGTTTTCTTGTATTGTGGGCTGTTTGCCCACCTCATATCAATAGGCCTAGAAAACTTGGGCACCAACTAAAGGCCCAACCCTAGTTCATAGGTTGGCAGCAAAACCAATCTTTCGACACATCACCGAAGTGTTTCAGCCGTCGGTGTTATTATCTACTTTCTTTTTCGTGTCATGGCAAAATCATTTGTCTTATGGCTTAAGACTTGATATCATTGGAGTTGTGTTTAATTCCAATCATGTTGAGTCGCACAACTATAGATGAGACTTTTAAGACATAATATATCGGATTATTGCCGAATTTGGAAAATCTTATCTTAGCGTATACAAGTTAACTAAACATCGGCGCTTGATGCTGGACCAAATCTAAGAATAATTCAATTTAAGTCCAGCCACCGAACGAGGATGATAACATGATACGGTTTTACGTGAAAATACTTAAGGGTTTTAGTCGAGCCTTCTCGAGTCAAGTATGTGATAAGAACATGTTTCTTTAACACGCCAGCTTAAGTGTCAAATTGCAAAACACGCTTAACACGATAATACATATATTACATGTTTTTTTTCATTAAATTGAATAAATTTTAAAAAAAAATCAAGTTTCCTACTCATATTTCCTATTTCCATATTCAAACCAAAATTTCAGGTACACACTAAAGGCGGATGATGCAATGGTTTCACGTAACATATATAGTTGACAAAAAAGTACAAACGACATGTCGTTGCATTAACGTAAAAGGAAAGGAAAGCTAGAAAAAAGGAATCCCTAGCAAATTAGCAAATTCTTTAAAGGGGAACCAATCCAATCAATAGTGAAATATAATTATTTACTCATTTGTGATTATCCATTTTTTACCATATGCACGATATTTTTTTTTTTTAATAAACGATGTTATCTACACTAAGAGAGTGGGAGTGGGCTAAGCCTCATAATGGGTTAGCAATAATATTATTCAAATTTGTCTTTGACGAGAATTGAACCTAAGATCTCTTACTTACAAGTTACAAGTGAAGAGGAATATCATTAGACCGTAGTACTAAGTGCCTATTCCACACTTGTTAATATTTGAATTAAGGGTGACTTTGGATGTGGTCACTATTTATCAATGTTCTTTGATTGAAAGCTTGTTGGTTTTTAGTTTTTTATTGAAGTCCCTGAAATTAATGCAATAATGACCTTCTATGTAGGTTACTATAATTTTAAATTAAAATTTGATATTTGTAGTTACTTATATTAATGAGATTTTAAATAAAAACCAAGATTTGTGGGATTAAAAATATTAGAAAATAAATTATACTTATATAAAAAAGTATAATTTATCTTAATGACATGATTTGTCATTAAGATAAATTATATTTAAATAAAACCTATGATTTGTCATTACTTATATTAATGACATTTTTACATACTGTACATTTTACATACAAAAAGTTGGTACATTTTTTGTCACATACCGCCCTAAGGCGGATCACTTTCCGAGCCCGCTCCACCACCGTAGCACAATATTGTCCGCTTTGGGCTTACCATTCCCTCACAGTTTTGTTTTTGGGAACTCACGAGCAACTTCCCAGTGGGTTACCCTATCATGGGATTGCTTTAGCCCCTTCTCGCTTAACTTCAGAGTTCCTACGGAACCTGAAGCCAGTTAGCTCCCAAAAGGCTTCGTTCTAGGTAGAGATGAGAATATACATATAAGGATCACACCCCTGGACGATGTGGGATGTCACATTTTTTACAAACAAGGTGGTACGTTTTATATAAAAAAAGAATGGGTACATTTTATATACAAACTAAAACTAAAAAGAAATTTGGTACAAGTTAAAAAAAAGGGTTGCAAATTAAAATAGGTACAAATTAAAAATAAAAAATATAAGATGCAAAATTTAGCCATAAATAAATAAATAAATAAATATATATATATCAAATGTAATGTTTCTAACACTAAATGAATATATTTAGAAATAAAATTTAATTATCTTGACATGTAAAATAATTTATTATTAAAATAATTAATGACATTTATTAAAACCGAGGGACCATGATGAAAAATTGAAAAGGAATAAGGTTTCGATCAATGGAGTTGAAAAAAGAGGGATGATAACCTAAATTGCGATGAGTTGAATTTAACTGCAAGTATAGCACAAAATTGATGGGCGATGGAGCTCACAATTTCAAAGATTCATACATCTGTTACACATTTTAACGCCAAATTCTAGAAATCAATTTCAAATTTCGGAAAGTTTGTGATCAATGTGATGTATTTTTTTAATACAAATGATATTTGAAGTGGGACATCTTATAAAATTAGTGTGGAACTAGTGGAAGTGGATTTTTAAAATCCAAATTTGATCCACACCTTAAAATTTATTATGAGTGTCTTAAAAAGGAAAATATTGTGCGAAAATAGTTTCTCGTGTTTAAACGGATTTTTCTTTACTCGAATCACACAAGATAGGGTAGACAAAATTCTTGATGAATGATGGCATGTCAAATATTTGCTATGCCATGATTGAAATGCACACTATTTGAGACCAAACCATTTCCCTCTGATGTGAGTGTGTTTTCCCTCCGTTGTGAGGTTTCCAGATCGACCAACCTTTCCTGTAGAAACTCTACTCCCCTCTCAACTCCTGAACGCAGATCAGCTACCTTTCTCGAACCCTTGTTTACTTCCCACCTCAACCCTTGCTTACTCCCCACCTAATTCAAACCCTAGTCACATCATCTACCACATTCATCATTACGGCACAAGATGAAAGCACTGCAGTAAAGATTCTTGAACAAGTCCCTGGGCTGTCATGAAGCAGAATTTTTCTGTCAAGAGATGGCCGCCTGAGCTTGCACTTGAGGAGATCCAGATGGAGCTGGTCCCCTTCTGGGTACAAATAAGGGGTGTTTTGCTATACCTGATTACGGATACTAATGTTCGACGCCTGGCTAAGGAGATTGGTAAGTTCGTTGAGCTAGAAGACACCTCCAAGGTGCGTGGGTTCTTACGAGTGACAGTCACTGTTAATACCCAAAACCCATTGACGACGGGATGCTGGCTCCCAAGGGAGGACAACAAGGACTCGTGGATTGAATTTCGATACGAGAGGTTTCAAGATTTTTGCTATAGATCCACAAGGATCGGCCATGCCAACAATGAATGTTCCTTTGAACCTGGAAGTGGGGCGCGGCTGGTTATGGGGAATGGACTAAGGCCGCCTCAATACGGGGAGTCTAGGAAACACTGGCTATGACAATTCAACCCGTCAAATCCGATCTTCGTAGATAACCAATCTAAACAGTTTGGTTTTGGGATCAAATTTGGGGTATTTTGCAGTTATAGGTAACCGTCGGGTAAATTATCCGGTTTCGGGTTCGCTTTTGATTATTAGGGTATTTACCCAGTACCCATACCCGAAACCGCCCCGTTTTTCGTTCTTTAGTAAAAAATAAAAATATTTATTATATGTTTTTATTTATTTTCTCTAGCAACTTTATCAATTAAGGGATTCTACGAGACTTTAAGGGGGCGTTTGTTTGCCCTCACTAGGTTGGACTGGACTGGACTGGACTAGCTATTAGTCCAATACTGTGTTTGTTCCATGCTGGGACTAACATTAATGAGACTAAAGGGGACTAGCATGACAAAACCCTTCACTAAGAGGTCTTAGCGAGACCCCCCAATAACCATGGGACTAGCTAAGACTATCCTCTCTTTCTCATCCTCGTCATGCTCAACGACCACTCCCGACAAACTCCTCGTCATCTCCGGTCACCTAGATCAATCATTAACTTTCCGACTCTCTTCAGATCCATTTCACAACCAACTTTCATATAAAATATACCAAATTGAAGCTGGGAGTGACAAGATTACGATTTTACCTGAATCGAGGCCAAAATGTGGTCAAATGTGGCCGGAAAATGGCCTGGAAGTCTCGGCCTGTTTGGGCTTCTTCAAATCCATGACAGATTCGAGCATTCAAAGCTAAGATCTCGGTCTAGGGATGGTGATGAATTTTTTGGCGGTGCTAACTTCATCCAATTTAACAAGGGTTGGCCGAAAAACACATCGGGAAACCTACAACTCGTCGGGAAAATTGGAGCCGTGAGGTTCCATTCGAACAACGCATAGCTAGAGAGGGAGGGAGGACAGAGAAATAGAGACTGGAATCAATAAGGAGTTTGACCAGGAATGAGAAAGAGACATGAATTGAGAGGTCTAAGAGGAAAAAAAGAGGGAGAGGGTGGGACGATGAGAGAAGAGGAAAAGAGTGGGACAGAAATGGTAGGAAAAGATGAAGAAAAAGATAAGATCATAATAAAATATTAATAATTTATAAATTAAATAATATAATATTAGAATTTGTTATTATCTAGCTTCTTAGTCCAATACTGCATCAAACGCTTCACTAAGTTAGTCCAGTTTAGTCTAGTCTAAGCCAGTCCAGCTTAGTTCTTGAAGCTAATCCAGTCCGAGATAGTCCGGCGCAACAAACGCCCCCTAAAGGTCTTGAGCGTGCAGACTTCAAAGGTCTCCAACAACATTATGCCAAAAATTTCTGTGCTTTCAATCAATCGATGGAATCTAGGACAATTTGCATGAGAAACTGAATAAATTTCCTTCCAAAATTGAATTGTTTTCCAGCTTTTTGTCTTAGTTGGGATGGAGGAGAATCATGACTTAAGCTACTCTTTCCAACTATTATTTCTTGTTCCATTTCTTTGCATAGCTTGTTGCTTCATACTTGTTCCTCTTTTATGAATTCCTCTTATTTCATTGAAACCCAAAATTCTCCAGCAAATTTTGTCCCTGTTAATTGTTACTTTGAAATCCTCTTTTATTCTCATACAAAATACAAAATGACAGCGTCATACGGCCAGCAGCCTCTTGCTTTCTCCTTTGCCATCCCTAACTACATGGGGAAACCTTTACCTGATGGGGAATCCGTTACCTGACACGTTTGGTTATGGGTAATTCTTATTCGGGGATTCTACGGTTTCGGGTTCAGGAAAAATAATCGAGTTTGGTTATGGGGATGGCATATCTGTGGAGCAAAAAATAATCACAATGTGACATGTGGATCTTTGGATGAAAAGGACAAGAATACCCTTGAGGCACATCGGGATTCCTACGCGCGAGCAGCGGACAATCATCCCTCAACCAAGACAAAAGTGCCCAAAATAGGTAACAATTCAAAACTTATTTCATCCATTCTCCTCAAATCCTTTCCACAAGGTAACTCCCAAATCTTTCCCTTTTTAAGGTAACTCCTAAATCTTTCCCTTTTTATTATACTAATTAGCTAATCAATTAGGCAATTATTCTATTAATTGGCTAATTAATTAGTTAATTATTCAATTATGCCCAATTAAACACAAATCAAGAACCTAGCCCACAAAGAGAGCTAAGTGGCCGGTCCTCTCTCACCCAAGGAGGCCGGCCACACCTCTATAAAAGCCCTCTCATTCTCTCCAAAACTCAATTCCAATTCTCTTGCTAAACTCTCTAAATTCTCCAAACACTTTTCCCTCAAAATTCTAACTTTGACATCGGAGGTTCTTCGGCCAAAGCCCCCCCCCCCCATTCATCATGGGCACGTGAGGCTCTTGGCCTTGACCTAGGACGTTATTTGTTTTGCAAGTACAATTTTGTCTAAGAGCAAGGAGGAAGAAACTTACATCCATAACATCCGAACCCAATCTGTCCTGTTGCCATCCCTATGAGATGCCCATAGTCTGCCACTTATTGATGCGATGTCTAAGTTTGGTTGGGTTTTTATACATGCTTATTTTTAGTTATGCCCTTAGAACTCGATTTTGATATCTTTTTACCTTCTGTTAATCAAAAGTCATCACTTTACTTAATGAAATTCAAAATTCGCTTTACTTTACTATGTTTCCGTTTCGTCTGTCAAATTCGCTCCATTTTGATTTCACTTTGCCTTCTGAAACTCGATTTCGATCCCATTTTGCCTCCTGAAACTCAAAAGTCATCATTTTACTCCATGAAACTCAAAGTTCACTACACATTACCTTAATTTATCACACCTATTTCTATATAATTTAGTAACCAATCAAGGCAACTGAATCCGCATAGTAAAATAAGTTTTAGTTTGCATTCATATCATATTGAATTTACATTAAGAGCAATACAACAAAAGAAACAGGGTCCGTCCGAATTTCTAAATTCAAGCTATATACAATCTCTAAAATTGTTCAGATTTATATGTATTTCAATTTGCAACTAAATTATAATAACTTTAGACTGACAGCCTATGTTCAACAAATTTGGACCCCCACCAGTTTTTGAATTTGATTAACAATGGCTGAATTATCAATGAAGTTTTAAAAAGAGAGAGAGTGGTTCCATGGCTGCTTCTCCAAGTCCTTATCCGAAAAATTAAATTGGATAAAAATTATAAGACACATATAACAGTTGCTAATAATTATCTAAATAGGGTTTATTTCTCCGTGCATTAATGTGTTTGCCTTTACCGTTTATTCTTAGTGTAATATGTTTATTATCAGTACTAGAAAAAATTAAAGATTTGATGTTTGATGTCACAACTGTCCAACCGAGGCTCCAACGTTAGTTTTTGACAGCATAAGTTTCTTCACCCGGTATGCTAAAATTGAGGCGGAATTTGGCATCAAGCTCTTCATCGAGTGAACATGTATTTTTCTGACGCTTTAAATTATTTATCCTAGTATATTAGAGGAACTAAAACGAAGTCGCATCTCTTGTTAAGACCTTTCTTTCTATGACAGGATCCTCGATAATGTACCTCTACTCGTTCCCTTTGAAAGGCTATATCAAAAAGCTCGTACTGTTTATCAGCTTGGATTTCATGTTGGGTTCAAAGGCCATTATGCTGTGGTATGTCCATTATTTGTTTAGGGTTTAGGGTTTAGGGTGTTGGCACCAAATACCTTTCTTATTCGGGGATGATTATGTTTTTCTCGTTCTTACAGTATGTTATTGTGCTCAGAGCAAAGAAGAGGAATACTTCATCCACAACCATCTGGCATTTACTGTGAAGTACCATAAAGATCCGCGAACTGGAACAGCAAGAATTGTGGGATTTGAGGTTAAACCATTCAGGTCGGTATTTTTCAGGGCGTTCCTTTTCTCCTGCATGATTCCTTCTTGCTGAATCTTCTTTCTAAATTATCAGTTGGTAATATGGTTTGTTTGACTGTTGAATGTCATGAACTACCTGTAACCCCCATTCGAAACACACTGTTGTTAATTCTAACTCTCCTCAAGAGGTTGCTGAGAAGCAAGAAATCGTATTTACCTATGATGTTGAATTCCAGGTGAGCTCCATAATTTAAAATTTTACTTGGTATTTTTTCGTAGGAGAATTATAACTCATAATTTACCGTCTACTCTTTACTTATTACAGCATCATTTATTTGTGTCATGAACTACTATCGTATGTCTATTGCCCTAATATTTCTGATGTAATGGTGTTGAACATACTTTGTCATTTGTGATGAACAAGTCATCTCATCGGATACTTCTTTTCATGTCTACCTGTTTAGGAGAGTGATGTGAAGTGGGCTTCTAGATGGGATGCTTATCTACGGATGAGTAACGAAATCCGTTGGTTTTCAATTGTCAACTCATGGATGATTGTCCTCTTCCCTTCGGGTATGGTAGCGATGATTATGCTAAGAACACTCTACCGTGATATCTCCAAGTATAATGAACTTGAGACCCAGGAAGAAGTGCAAGAAGAAACAGGATCGAAACTTGTCCGCGGGGATGTCTTCAGGCCTCCAAATAACTCTGAATTGCTGTGTGTATATGTTGGAACTGGTGTTCAATTGTTTGGAATGAAACTGGTGACAATGATATTTGCTGTCCTTGGCTTCCTCTCCCCATCTTACCGGGGCAGTCTCATGACCACAATGCTCTTACTCTGTGTCGTCATGGGACTCTTCGCCGGTTACGCCTCAGTTCGCTTGTACAAGACGTTTCAGGGTACAGAATGGATGAAAATCGCATTCAGGACTGCAGTCATGTTCCCAGCAACTGTCTCTGCCATTTTCATTGTCTTGAACACTCTGATTTGGGGCCAGAACTCATCTGGAGCTGTGCCATTTGGCACAATGTTGACCCTGGTCTTTTTTTGGTTCGGAATCTCAGTCCCACTCGTATTTGTGGGAGGCTATGTTGGGTTCAGGAAGCCAGCACTTGAGGATCCAGTAAAGACAAAAAAAGTCCCAAGACAAATCCCAGAACCGGCCTGGTCCATGAACCCAGTTTTCTCAATTCTAATCGGAGGGATCCTCCCCCATTCGGAGCAGTTTTCGTCGAACTACACTTCATCCTCACTTCGATTTGGCTGAACCAGTTCTACTACATGTTAAGTTTCCTCTTCTTGGTCTTCATCAACCTCATCATCACATGCGCTTAGATCACCATCGTCCTCTGCTACATCCCGTTGTGCAGCGAGGATTATTTGCGGTGGTGGAGATCATACCTCACATCCGGCTCATCGGCTCTCTACGTCTTCCTCTACGCCACATTCTACTTCTTCACAAAGCTCGAAATCACAAAGCTGGTCTCGGTCCTCTTATACTTCGGGTACATGCTCATTGCTTCTTATGCATTCTTTGTTGTCACCGGAACAATCGGCTTCTACGCCTGCTTTTGGTTCACGAGGTTCATCTACTCATCGTAATCCAAATTCTTCACTTTCTTGGCCCACATTGCTGATCATTGAAATCACGTCATGAATGTAGTATGTAAAACCAATAAATAAACTCGTATGTTACAGCTTATGCGAATTTGTAATTGTCACACCAAAAAATCACTCAGTAAGTGGATAATCAAGAGCATTGAAACATGTGATTACATATTTATGATTGATATTCTTCAGCTGATGAGTTTATCGACGTCCCCTATTGTGATTTTCAGTTTAATTGTTTGGAACTATTATATAACATGCCCACAGCGCAGTCGGATTAAAGTTAATCTGCTTGAGATTCTCTCAGAATTAAAAGACTTCCAAAATCCAGATCGTCTAAGAAAAAGAGATCTGGTCAAGGTCCAGACAATTTAAGTTTCTGAGGTACTATGAGGTGGACCAGTGAAATAGAAAGGACTGGAAATCGTATTTATTACAACATTATGTTTGAATGAGGAAATAATCTTGGAATTTGACAATAGCCAGAATTTATAAATTGACATGCAACAATAGAATACTTCATAGTACTCATTGAAAAGGGAGAAAAGTTGTGTTAATCATGTCTCGTTGCATCACATGTTCGTGTGGGTTTTGAGTCGTTTTAAAGTGTCTTGTGTGGAATTTCTTGGGTAAATTGAAATGGTATTATGCTTATGAGTCAGAATCATGTGATTTAAACCTAGGTCGGGAAGGTTCAATTGGAACGCTTCCAACAAATTAAATGTTCATAAAATATGTACTTTTTATCATTAATTGATATTTATGGTTTGGTTTGGTGGTTGGTTTGGTTGGGTGGTTTTGCTGCCCACCTCTTCTTATGAGAATTCAAACTTAGATATCGACTGAGTTTACAATTCATTTCATACTCATAGATGTTAGCCCCACATTGCAAGTAGCAATGTAGGGTTACCACAAAGAAACCACAACCAGAAACTTCAACTTCAAAATATAACTACATATATATATATATATATTTTGAGGTTGTGAAAATCATAAAAAGGAAGGAAACCAAGTTGGCTCTCTCTCACTGTCTCTGTCTTTGTCCGTCCATCAAGTAGTGAGAGTGATTTTCTGTGGTTTTTTTGCTTGTTTTGGTACAAATAGATGAAGATGATGCACGTCCACTTCAAGTCATTACTCCGAAAGGATATTGGACATGTAAACGATGCTTATCCTTCCCCTCCTTTTATTCAAGTGGATGCCTTCTCCATGCAAGGAACAAGAACCTCCTTGACTCGGGGAGGAGGGGATTAGGGAACAAATTGACAATTGTGCGGAGAGACGGTTACGGTATACAACTAATAGCATCGATATTATCTCTACTTAATCACCTTTGCAATCAATAGGTGTGGTTTTTCTATGCAGAAGGCCTTGATATAATTAGAAGTGAAACCATTTGATATAAGTTGTGATTTGTTTTGTAAGATAGTCGATGTGAAACCTTTTACTTTATTCAACATGCTCCCTCACCTAGGACCACTTTGGGATGGGTCAGATGTGGAGCTACATTGGTAATGTTTATAAGTGAACCCAATAATTTGGCAACAGATTTGAAAACCCGCTCTGATATTATGTTAAAATTTTGAGAATTTTTGCATATTATTCTAATCCCGTTATGAAGGCAAATATGTGTAATTTACAAAAGACTATACATGGTAATTATACGGTCATATGAAGCCCTAACATAAAGCCAACTAGGAGACTATACATGGCAGCTTTCATTCAATTCGTACGGGGGAACCTTTATATGGGATTGTATAGGTCCGATTTTCTTTTCAACATTCTTGCTAAGGATATAAACTTATCAATTAGTATTGATTGAATAAATTCTACCTTTCAACAAAAAAAACTAGGAGACTCCATTGGGTTGGGCAGCTAATGCTAACGTTAACAGATAAGAAGTGGACATTTTTTTAATTAGTTTTATACTTTTTAAATTTTTGAATCCATTCCGCTCCCAAATTGAGAAACTTTGAGTTTTTACGAATTGCAGAACCCTCCACTTTCGTATTTGCGCACCATAGTCATAACATGAACAATATTTTTTTTCTTTTACAAATGATTGGATAACATAAACTAATTCATCTAAACTAGTGGAATGAAAGTTAAAATTAAGGGTTAATCTCATTTTACTATTATAAAGTTTTTTGGTTTTCAACATTTGGTATATAAAGTTTTTTTCGTCCCAGTCTGGTACCTAAAGTTATAATTTTGGGACACTTTCATACATCCGTTAAGTTTTCTATTAGAACTTCTGTTAATTGATGATATGGCGCCCAGTGGCGCTCACGTGGACAATAACTGGGCGCCACGTGTTAATATGGGCCCACTTGAATATTAAAAAAATAAAAATTCGAAATTTAAAAATTTAAAAAGATAAAATAAAAGAAAAACTCATCTGTCTCCTACCTCATCCCCCGCACCCTTTGGTCCTTCTCCCTCCCTTCTCTTTTTTGCAACTTGCACCACCCTCCCTTCTCTCCTCTGCAACCCATAACCAACATCCCCGCACACCCAGCACAACAAAATTCCACCCAAAGGAATTCCAATTCAACAAGAAACCCATCCAATTTCTGAAATTTATCAAAAACCCAGTTGACCTAAATCCCTAATTTGGATAAACTCCTAAATCCTAACCGATTCTTGGCATTCCTAGCCCCTGCCGCCATCGCACTGGACTCCAACAACGACACATGGTGGCTCCCTTGCTTTGGTTCTTCTCTCTCCTCGAGTGCCTTGCGAACTGTAGATGCTTCGAATCGAATTTCAAATTTGTGTTTCTCAGATTTTGAGGATTAGGGTTTTTGCAAATGGTGGAGGTGAAAAGGACGAAGGAGAGAGAAGGGAGGGAAGGTGAAGAGGGTGGAGGTGGGTCGGGTATAGAGCATTGGCTAGGCGCAGAGGAAAGAAGGGAGGAAGTGGGGGTGAGGTGAGGTAGGAGAGGTGGGTGTAGGTTGCAGAGGAGAGAAGGGAGACAGGGTGGGTGGGGGTTGTAGAGGAGAGAAAGGAGGGTGCGGGTTGCAGAGGAAAGAAGGGAGGGAGAAGGTTAGGGGGAGGTAGAAGACGGGTAGGTTTTTTTTTTTTTTTTTTGTGTTTTTGTATTTTAATTTTTTAATATTCAATGGGCCCATATTGACACATGGGGATCAGTTATTGTCCACGTGGACATCATGTCATCAGTTAATATAAGTTTTAACGGAAAACTTAACGGATGTATTAGAGTGTCCCAAAATTTTAACTTTAGGTAACAGACTGGGATGAAAAAGACTTCATATACCAAATGTTGAAAATCAAGAAATTTCAGGGTAGTAAACTGAGATTAACCCTAAAATTAAAGATGCATTAGGTTAAAGAGGAAGACATTATTCACTATGTTTGCGTCCAGAATATTCCACTCATAAAACTTTCTAAAACATACTATCTTCCTTTGTTGGGTTTTCTTGTATTTTGGGCTGTTTGTCCACCTCTATATCAAGGGAAGAGGATTCTCTACAGATTCACTTTGTAGGGATCCATCATAGCCGTTCATCATACATTGTGCGGTTAGTTTTCGTCAGATGTTATTTGTGTTTAATTTTAAATAAAAAAAATCAAATGATTTCTAATTGCGCGATACACGATAAAT